TATTTGGAGTAAAACTAAAGACAAATCCATTGGGGATGGAAAATTACTTTCCTGATCAAAGGAAAACAAGATTGTGAGGGGAAAGAGATGACGACAAAAAGTTCCTCTTGTGAAGCCAGAAAACACATAAAACACCGAAGAAAAGCAAAAAATTATTTTAACTTGGTTGGGTTTGAAGATTAATATAACCATGAACGGTTTTCCATTGAATCTCAAGAGGGCATCAGTCAAGAAGGGAGAAAGAAGGAGATGACCAAAACGCCAAAAAGAAAAAGAAAAAGAAACTTGTTGTAAACTAAGGAGACATGAACGCGAAGAAACAAAAAGAACTCCAATCTAACAGTTTTAGTTAACGTTTGTCATGTCTGTTTAGAGAAGAAGAAAAAAACTGAATGATGTGCCATATTTTAAGTTGTTAGATTATTGTAATGATCTAGATTTAGCGAAATATGAATAAATACACCGTCCCTAAATACAGAGACTCGGGATCCAAGTTTTATATACATCAATAATTTACAATTACTCATGTGAATCACAGATAATTTTCCATGCAAATCATCATCCTTTCTTTCTGCTCCCTCTTTACCTTTTCGTATGAACCTTGATAATATCAACTATGCTCTATAATATTGGTAGGAAATTAAATTAGGATATAGCAAGCTTTTGGTACTCTTGGGTCTTGGCCTTAGCGAGAGAGATGTCTCGAATCACGTGACATACATGACAGGGAAAATGGTGATCCCGATATTTAACGCATTTTTCCCTTCTCAAAGTAACCCACCGCAGTGCATGCATGTGCATGCTCATGTGCTCATTAATCCTGATTAATTAAAAAACAATTCAACTAATTATTTAATTAATGGCGTCAATTGATCCATCATCATATATTTCTGCCAATCCCCCGTATATATTCTCTGGACAAGTGATTCTGATTCTCTCATTTTTCAAATGAAATTACTTAATTAAGAAAATAATAATAATAATAATAATAATAATCAAGTTACCAAAAAAAGAGGAATATTAATTTGGGCTATGTCGGTGGATATGGGTTGTGGGCCAGGCTCGCATCACTTAATAATAAGTGAGATATCGGCTTTGGGCACGTGTTCTGCGTCCGTGATAGGAGACACTTCTCTGATAAGACGGCCCTTTTGCATGCAAAATTTGGACTTTGATCTTTTTCTGTGTTTCGTTTCTATTGGTTGTAAGACTTCAATATTCTTTATTTTTTTGAAGTTATAATTTCTGCAATGAGCTTAACAGGGTTCAAAAAAATTCAATTCTGAGAAGAATCCTCAAACTCCAACATTTTTGTGTGTGTATATAAATCTGTGTGTCAGTTTTTTTGTTTTGTTTTTTCATTTGAATGTCCGGACGTTATTATAGTGTGGATGTCATTATAAACATGAAAGAAAGCACAAACATGTAGTATAAAATATATGATGTTTGCACAGTAACAATATCTGGATGTCAGCATAGAAGAACAATCTAGAGAATAATGAGCATAATTTCCTCTTAACTTGGACATGTTATAGACTTGTCTTGTGTCACTTGGTCAACATAATGTGTTCACTTCTTTGTATTTAAGTCCGATCATTCTCATCTATATTTTCGACTATCGTTTATATCAAAAAAATAAGAACAAAAAACTTTGATATTGTGTTGGCATCAATTGCTAAAAGTTTATGTTAAAAAGATAACTAAATGAAGTTATGAAGGAGGTAATCTTGCCCAAAACCTCATAACAAAGAAGAAGCTATTAAATAGATTATCTAAATCTATTTGATTAGACAATAAAAAAAAGAGTGCTGCTAAACGAACCCTAAAATTAACTGAGTACACCCTACTATCAAACTATTTATTGAATTACTAATAATATCCCAAAGATCGCACTCTTAGCTTGAGCGTACCTACTCTCGCGATCTGTTTTCTTGCGTTTACCCGGTTGGTCCAGGTCCCCCAGCTGCTTTCTCATGTCATGGGCGTAAACACTTACCATCCTTGAGAGATTTTGGTTCTCTTCCCGCAACGACAGCAATGTCGTCATCATACCATTATACTGGTGTCGTGGTCGTCTGATATTGGTAAATCTCATTTTGATTTTGTTATCAAATGGGTTATACTATCTTGATTTGTTCTTCACTGCCCACAATGTTTCGTAACCTTCCTCTGGAAATTGGTTTTAATTTGTTCTTCAAAGGGAGCAGTTTCTGGGTTGTTTAATATTGATGATTTGAAGATATCCACGACCATGTGGGTATGTTGCAGACTTGCTACAAACATCGGAAATGCCTTTATAGCTTTTCTGGTTTAGATCCAAATAATATGTTGAGGGCCCATGAAAATTCCTTCATATAACTTGTGAAATCAAATAATAAGTTCAATGTTTGTGTCTGTAAATTCAATACATTTATAAATATAAACATAGGGCACAAATTCATGTAAAAAGAGAAATTTGATTTAGGACTGGTATTAAGGTGTTTTTTTGATAGAGTGTATAGGTGTATCATGGCTATTTTTGGTAGTTAAATATGGTGTACTTAGTTAATTTTATATTTTAATTAAAATATTAGGATGTACTTAAATCATAGGGTGTACTCAATTAATTTTAAAGTTCGTTTAGCAGCACTCTAAAAAAAATCATATTAATTCTTCTAATAGTCATGAAATGGTCGATAATTGAATTTTTTTTTTTTTAAAAAAAAGGCTCTTGAAATGGGGAACGCCACGTGACTTGGTGAGTCCGTACAATAACTAGCGAGGCATTGCAACGTATGGCTATGTAGAACTCACATGCCTTGGAGTTTATATTGTATTATAATACAAAAAAGATCACAAATTCACAATCATGATCCTCTGTGATCACATGAATTTCACAATCATGTTCTTCCGTCACTATCTTCTATGCTAAGGATAATATTTGTTATGAGAAAAGTAAGCTCCTTAACTAGTTTGAGAGAGAAAACTCCTAGCCCCACCCCAAAAGGAGTGGTGACTACCATGAGTTTGGTCCCATCTTCCTCTTTTTTGAACTTTTCTCTCAACATCCTCCCCTTCACATCCTCTTTTGCTCCCCCTTCCTGCATCGTCTTCCTCTCTATTTTGTTGATTCGTTTATGACATAATTCTATAACAGATTTATGAGGATTTATCCTTTTTGATGTATGTATTCTATTTGCCAAAGAGGAAAGTTGATTGGTGCAAATTTGTTATCTTTTAGTACTTGTTGGCACCAAAACTGAACATATAGAGATGAGTGCAACTTACAAGTGGTGAGGACGATCTAACAGATCGATTGAGTGATAGATGCAGATTCTTCTTGTCCTTGGATGCAGATCCTGAATAGAAGAGAGTTGAGGCTCGTGAGGTCTATGGAACCGGTGTGGAACCAGCCTAAGACCCTCCGATGCTAAAGTAAGTTTGTTTTCTAAGAGCCTTCGCTGTTGACAATATATTAGTATAAAAGTCAAGCTGAAAAGTCTTACCCCTGTATTGTAGTGAAGGGGCCTATTTATAGAGGGCATCTTGTATGCTCTTAGTACTTAATTTCGATGTGGGACTCGTGGGAGGGCCCTATGAGGTCGACACGAGTCTTTAGATATTTCAGGCGGGTGCTTCGAGGTTGATTCTGCAGAATCGGTAGGAGATACCGATTGTAGTCTATGTTGGGCCTGTAGCGACCTTTTGCCCACTTGAGACAATATCATCGGTAGCCGATGCTGATTGTTCGGAGCCTTGGGCGCTTGGGTAAGCTTCTAAGATCCACGTGTCGCTGTATGAACGGAGGGTCAGATATGGTACAAACAGTACTTGCGGACAATTGATTGGTTTTGTGACAATGAGGTTGCGATCCGACTGGTTAAGTTTCTTTATTTTTGGGATAAGTCTTATAAACTCTCTTTGGGTTTTCTCTTTTGTGAGAGCTTTCACATCTCATTTGTGAGAGTTTTTATTTGTATTGTTATGATGGTTTTTCCAAGCTTTATCTCTTTTTGATTGTTATGAGTTTGCAATCTTAGTTGGGATGTCTATACTAGAGTTGTGTGATTGTGAGTGGATGCACACCAGATTATCTTAATGTTGATTTTAGATTTCTTCGTAATTTTAATGGCTCTTTGTGATTAGTCGCTTATTTGACTGAATTATGAATGCAATCTCACAATTTCTCAACCAAAAAAAAAAAAAAAAACTAGTTTAATAAAGACCATTAGATCTTCTATTGAAATACCATTAGATATGCGACTATTCTTTTTCTATATTTCTATATTTACTAAAAATGAAAGTATACAACTTATAAGGAATTTATCGCATAATAAAGAGTAATGCTACACACACCAAGTTTATTCACCATCTCACCAAGTTTTTGTTCGTCCACTAATTTGTAATTATGTCATTTATATTCAAATCTCTAACATATCATTTGGTGGATAAACCATGCGAAAAAAACTTGGTGCTTCTAGTATTACTACTCCTAGAGTAGATTACTATACTCTTATGCTGAAAATAACAGTACAAATTTGTAAAGTCAGACTGATTTATGTTTTGTGTATTTCTCTGTGAATCAAAACCTCTATTTATAAGAAACAATGCTTATTCTCTTGTAGTCCAAATGGGTGTCTTGAGTTGTGTTAAGTGCTTCAGTTGAAGAATTCTCATTACTACATCACGATTCCTAAACTCATTTACGGATCGTATATATGAATTAAGCCAATTAGCCAGTACAGTGATCCCGCCTCCTTACACCCAAATTTGAGTCCTCCTGTAGATTAGATTTGATTGTATCAACAAAACAAAAAAAACCATTTCTGGGCCGGCCTGATCTGTATAATCCATCAACTCCATTCAGACTGGACCATGGAGGATTTCCCAATCTATCTGGGCCGGACCATACAAAATTAAAAAGATTTTAGCTTTCCTTAGAGTTTTGAAGCCCTCGTAAAAATTCGTCATTTTTTAAATAAGAATTCCTAATTATCTCCAACCTTTCAAGTTTCAACCGCCAATTATCCAGTTGACAAAAACTCAACTACCAGTACCAGCCATGAACTCGAAAGCTCAAAACTTCAACACCATTCCCTCTCTTACAAAAACCCCAAATTCAAATGGCCACGTGTCTCCCGTTCGGCACCATCCCATTCAAACCCCACTCCCCCCGCCCCGCTAAGATTACCTGCTCCTCCACGGCAGCCCAATCACAGCTCGCCAAGCAGCACCTCCTCAGCCTCATCTCCGATCAGGACCGAGGCCTCAAGACCCAGAACAACCCCGCAAAGCTCACCTCAATCGTCAGCGCCATCGACGACTTGGGTGCTCTGGGAAAAGATAGTATCACCACCGGCGGGTCGCTGTCGGCCACTTGGCGGCTGCTTTGGACGACAGAGAAGGAGCAGCTCTTCATCATCCAGAACGCTTCCTTGTTCGGCACGCGAACCGGCGACGTTTTGCAGGTCATTGATGTTGGGAAAAGGGTTCTCAACAATGTCATCACTTTTCCTCCAGATGGGGTCTTCTTCGTCCGCTCTGATATCGCCGTCGCTTCAAAGCAGAGAGTCAATTTTAAGTATGCATTGGTATTTCGTACTAGTATGAACCAAAAAATAATTAAAAAAAATTGAAACTTTGGGAATTTTTCTTTTTCTCTGTATTAATTTTTATGTTTTGGTGTTGCTTTGTAATTAGTGATGTTGGGTTGTGCTAGATTTACAAGTGCGGTTCTACGAGGGAAGAATTGGGAGATTCCATTGCCACCGTTTGGGCAGGGTTGGTGAGTTCTTTTGCTTTATTTTGATATTAACAAATACCCAAGAGATAGCTGGTTTTGTTTGTGTAGTTAGAACTTAGAAATGTTAAAATTCACTTAGAGCAACTCCAGCCATTTGTCCCTTTCCATGGCAAGGGGGGGCTAGGGCAGCCACTATTCACATGAATAGTGGTTGCCTTTGCAAATAGCATTGTGTGTTTCCACCCGTTGCCATGGCAAAGGGCAATTACTATTCATTTTTTTTGTTTTTTTTACAAATTTTTTTACCTCAATAATTAATTTGGATAATATTTTCGGATAAGATTTTCGGGTTCCTACGTGCACTGGCGGACCCAGAAATTTTTTAGCTGAGGTGCAATATTAACTAAGTATGAAAAATGATTTTTCGGAATAATCATTTTCTCAAGATAATTTTTGGCGGCTTTTGTTCCTTACACATCAAATAAGAAAACTTGATTTTATGGGATTTTAGTATGAAATATATATTGACTTAATGAGCCATCATTTTTTGCCTAAATCGTATTTTCCACTAAAACTGATTTTTCATATTTTGATTTGGTGGGAATTTGATTTTTTAGTATTTTTATTTGAATCCAAATGGGGGATACTTCCTTATTTACATTGTAAACTTAAGTAAATGGAGTAATATAAAAATACATAAAAGTAAAAGGACAAAGACATTTACTTAAATGTTGAAAATGAAAATAAGGTCTTGAAAGACATTTACTCATAATATTTTGGTATTTTTTTAAAACAAAATTCAATTTTTTTTCATAATTTTATTACCAAACAAATGACAGCCATTGGATTGGAGGAGGAGAAGCATATCGGAGCGCCAAGGCCTTGACACTTGTCTTCTATAGGCTGGAGCTTGCGCTGACGTCACGCTGACGTCGTCAGCCCCTCGGGCGAAACTGGCCTTCGGGCCAGCCCCCCCCACAAATAGATAGGCCATAGTCCATAGAGGTGGGATAACTTTCTACCTTTCTATCCCTCACTTTCCATGATTTAAACCCAACTCCTCAATAAAGGGGAACGTAATCACTTAGAGCACCTCCACCCCAAAGGGCAAGGGCAAGGCAAGGTTTGACACTATTCATGTGAATAGTGGTAGCCAGTGGCGGACCTGTGCAGGCGCAAGGAGGTGCACCTGCACCTCCGGTTGCCGGAAAACTCCATAAAAGCTGCTGAAGTTGCACCTCTGCTCATGCACGGAAGCTGTTCGATGAAATGCGCAAGTGAATTGCACTGCTCTTGAATGAAATGATGGAGGATGGGGTGGAGCCCAACTCATTTACTTACTCATCTGCTTTGAAAGCATGCGCCCAGCTGGAAACCGTTCTGCACGGGAAATTCCGTCTGCAAATAAAAGTCCTGCCATGTCTAATGTTTTTGTGGGTAGCGTTTTGATTTCTATTATGCAAAATGTGGCTATGTAACGGAGGCATTTCAAGTTTTTGACAGCATGCCAGAACGGAATTTGGTTTCTTGGAAGGCTATGATAGTGGGTTGTGCAAAGAATGGTCTCTGCCAGGAGGCTATGAAGCTCATGTATCTGATGTGAACAGAGGGTTTTGAGGTGGATGATTACATCCTTGCCACTGTTCGTTTTGAACCAGGGTTTAAAAAAATTAAGATAAAAAAAAGGGGAAACTGCTGGGCCATTCGTGGGCTTCTAAAGGGCTTTTATAATTCTTACCTAATTGGATTTTAATTGGAACTTCTCTTTTTTCAATTAGGTTTTGGGAATTTCTTGTTTAAGTGGGATTGGGAATTCTCTTGATAAAAAACCAATTTAACATCACCCAAAGTGTGTGTGCATCACAAGAGTCCTGCATTTTTTCTCCTTCTTGAGTCCCTTTTTTTTTTGTTTTTTGTTTTTTTTGAGCTTTTAGCTTTTAAGAATTGCACCTCTGCTGAAAAATTCATAGGTCCGCCGCTGGTGGCAGCCTTCCTTTTTCGGTTCCACCTCAAAGGGCAAGGGCAAATACTATTCACTTTAATTTATTTTCTATTTTTTATACTTAAACCATTAATTTTGGTGTGGGAAGTGAAGAATATGACTAGGTATTTATTTATAATAAAAAATTCTGAAATTTTTGGTTTTTTATTTATTTTGTTTTTTCCGTTTCTGACTTCATCAATGACATCAGTAAACCCATGCAACAGCCCAAGCAAGGTTTGCCTTTGGGCCTACCCAAGCTTGTGGAGCCCACCAACTGCCCGGTCTTGCTGTTGTGCGCTGGAGCCAATTGTTGGGCTTAGGCCCCCTCCTGCCCAGGCAAAAGAGGAGCGCTGGAGGTGCTCTTGCAAGTGCTAATGATTGGAAATCTTTAGGGTCCGTCTACTAACGTTTTCGAAGAATGTTTTCTGAGAATATTTTCAAAGAATGAAAACAAGAAAACGAATTTGCATTTTCAGGAAATGAAAATGCGTCTGGTAGATTAATTAGAAAACATTTTCAGAAAACAAAAACAATGAAAACGTGCATGGTAGTACAATTTGAAATAATAATATGTGAGTTATTTTTATGAAAACATTTTCCACGAGAATGAAAACAACTTTTTTCTGTTTTCTACAAGTACACATGAACTTTATGAAAACATTCTCAGTGTTTTCTGTTTTTGGGCCACCGAACGTGTTTTTGCCTCATTTTTGTTCTCTAAAAATGAAAACAACCTCTTAAAACGTTACCGAACGGGCCCTTAGGATTCTTCCTGCCAACAATAGGTTATTCTTATCACTACTCGCCTCCCGGCAAAATTTCTATTTATGAAAGCTGCTTTTCCTTTAAATTTGTTGACAATGTCTGAACTGAATTCCCAGAAGTTTCTTGGTTCGCTTGGAATGAGCACTCTTTAATTTTCTCTAATTTTTCAGTGGTTTTGAGGTGCAGCATTGAACTGCTTTGAAAAGAGAGGCTTACTCTGTAAATTGGGATTTAACTACAAAAGGAGCATGCTTGTCCATCTTGCTTATTATATAGGAAGTTAGCTTGCTTATTATCTGAGCGTGCCATGTGCTTGAAACCGGCCTCAAATATCAGATGAATATAAACTAACTTGAGCCCTGCCCTATTTGTTTCAGGCCTATTGCTTGATATCAAAATCAAATGTTGGCTTGTAGAAGCACTTTCAAATACTATTTGTTAAAGATCGTCAATAATTTCTTTAGGTCGTTGGTTTAAGTAGCATGACTAATTTTGGAATTCAGCTTATTGTCCGGCAGAGAGTTGCTGAACTTTGTTTTTTTTTTTTTTTTTTTCAAGACCATGGATTGTAGGGAAATAACTTTATTCATAATTGTTCAGGCTGGATTTTCTCTCACAAGGCAGTAATATATCTTCCCCTAATAGATGATATCTTGTTGATTGGCTTGTGCACCTGGTTTCTTCCAGAATATTCATCATTTCTCTTTCTCCTGCAAGAAAACTGCTGATTCAACTTTTTAGTTGTTTATCTTTCAGAACTAGAAATGAGAAAACTTTGCAGTCTGCCTTATTTCTATATCTTCTATTTACCCTTGAAAGACAGAAATGCAACACCTGTGATAGGAAATATTATCTGCCGGAACAACAGGAATACAGCTTGACATGTACAGTTTTGAGGCTTCACTACTAATGTCCTCATTGGTCCAACCTGTTACATTTTAGGTTTGACACTGTGTACCTTGATGATGAGATTCGAGTTGTGAAGGATATCAGAGGAGACTATTTGGTCGTGGACCGCGCTCCCTATGCTTGGAAAGAATGAAGAAGAAAATGTTTGCTACTGACTTCGTTGTTGCTATTGGTGCGACATAATGTGAGTTCACTTATTCAAAAGCCATTTATTTGATTAAACTACCTAGTAGTGTTGTTCTTTATCTGAATGTTACTACTCTCTCATAATATTCCAGATCTGATCTGTTTGCATAACTTTGGTTTGTTATCCCTAAGAAAACTAGATGATTCTGTACCTTTGTTAAATTTGCATATGATATTTCATCAATCCACAATCCTGTCAATTCCCCCATTTTTGATAAGTCTGGATAGGCTGTTAACCATTCCATTTTCTGTGAATTTTCCTGTCTCATGCCTATATTTTGTAAAATTATGGGATCATAATTTCTGAAAAGCCAAAGTTAGGTACTATCTAGTAAGATTGGAAATGACACGAGTACCACAACAGATTTGGAACTTCGAAGAAAACAACTGTTTCAAGAAGTCAAAATGATGAATTCCAGACCTTTCCACCTGCTATTTGTTTTACATTTATCCCATACTACTTGAGGTTGGCTACATGAATTTATTCTGTCATTCAACTCTAGTTCTCGAAATGTTGTATAAACCATCTTATCGGTTGAGTAATATCAAATCCCTTGATACCCATTGAACCAAATAGTCCTGCAATCATTTCCATGGTTGCACATCGTCAAATCCAACTAGGTCAACTTTCCCACATTAAGGGTACTTTTAACTTCATACAAAGACATTAATTTCCCATTTATTTGATTGATGAGAAACACAATCATAGAATATTTTATTAATCCTGTAAAAAATGGTATAAATTACAATTTACAGAGGACAACTGTCCCTCCAATCTGAAAAAATAGCGCAAGGAAAGAATGGAATGTCCCTAAATATCTCTCTCACTTCGTTTTGCTCATGGTGTTGGTTGAAAATCATATAGCTTGTTCGAGACCGGCATTCTCTACACATTGTCTAGGATTTTACTCATGGTGTTATTAGATCATTTTCCCTCTCCTTCCTCCTCTTTGATTTATTCATAAGTCTTTGAAATAATGCATCTGCTATTTACCATGAACAGACTGATGAGACTTGTTGAATGTGGAGCCTGAGATAATCTTGTTTAAAATCCCACCTCAAAAGCCACTTCCTCACCCAATAAAATAAAGAGAAGACTCTAGAGATGATGCAACCGCAGGCAAGAGCAAAAGGGGATATGAGGGATACGGGGAGGAAGGAGATGATCAGCAAAGCAATATAAAAAAGTGGAGATCACAATTCTATGATTACGCACTAATAGGCGTGCCTGCAAATATTGTCTCCCATGGCTTTGGATCATCACTCATTCACTTATATATATATATATATATATTATGTGGCTTGGGATTCAGCAAATCTTGTCTATGATTTCCCATTTCTCCTTTTTCAAAATTGTACTTGGTAAGGTGCTGTGATTTACAACACAACAGCAACGTGGATGAATCTTTTTGGCTTAGCTTTAGCGAAAAAGTATCCTAATAAGAGCTTGATTAAAAAGAAAAAGGAAAAAGACTATCAGGGGCACAGAGATGGGATAAAAGTCCCCAACTGTACAATTTCGTTTTCTGTTTTTGCAGAAGTGTGAATTTGATTTACACAGATGAGTTCTGCTACCAATTTATCTGTATTGTTTGTGCTTTTTCATCTGGATATGGATAGATTGGTTGTTGGGAATTCTTGCAACGACAAGTGGTACACAAAATCTGGGCCGTACCCTAGCCGACCTGAACCAAATCCAGTGAGCCCCGCGATTGGGTCGGTTGTGAAACACATTTAATATGGCTCACGGGTTAATAACTTTAGTTAGTTGAAGGATACTTTTGTACTCTTGTAAGAGCACTTCCACCTTATTGTGTCATGACATGACAAAGGGCAAGGATAAGTAAGGGCAAATACTATTCACTTGAATCGTGACTGTCTTAGCTATTTTTTATGCATTCTCATCCATTGCCATGACAACCTCAATGACAACCATTATTTACATGAGGTATGAGGAGAGAAACTTGTTTGGATTTTGGTGTGGGAAGTGAGAAGAACATGGCTAGATATTTATAGAATTTTTTTTTGTGATTTTTTTGGTAATTTTTTTTTAATTTTTTTGTAATTAAAATTAGTCGTTGATGTTAGCATGACGTCAACTTGCCTAAAAAAGTCTTGTTTTCGAGCTTGCCTAGTTTCATGGGCCTACTTCTTGCCATGGCAACTTGTCTTTTGTGGAGGTTGTTTTTGGAGCCTAGGCCCCTTTTTGCCATGACAAAAGGGGAGGGGTGGAAGTACTCTAAGGTGAACTTCGCATTGTATTTTAATGATTCGAGTGATTTTATTTTTTACGTCTTCATTCATAGATTATCTGGAAAACATTAGACAAATTGGAAGCCATTAAGACTTCTAATTTTGACTAACAAAATAGACAAATCATTTAAGAAAACACTAAAATGACAACCATTTAATTCAGTGGTCAAATGATTTCGAATACAAGCGGTTATTTTTTTGCATAGCTGATTTTTGAAAAAAATACCCAAAAAATAGATTGTTTGTTTCATTGACTTATAATGCGTAGCAGGCCTCACAAGGATTATTAGATCCCAAATACATAAATTTACAAAGTCATTAGTTAATTTTCATATTAGTATCAAGGAGGCGACTCAAGTAGCACGCTTAAGAAAATTCTAATCAAAGGTGGATTTGCAAGGGACCATGTCACTCTTGAAATGGATGGTTAGCTTAATTTGGATCTATGAATGAAGACTTG